TCCTCGGCGCCGCCGGGCGAGGGGCTTTTGCTGAGGGAGGCCGCCAGCCCGCGGACCGCTGCCTCCGCTTCTCCGAAGGCGGGCAAAAGGCCCTGTGCGTTACCAACCCCGCTTTGCTCTTGGAGCAGAGCACGAACTGCTGCAGCGTTGGACGTTTCCTTGTTCTAACCGCTGAAATGGCTCCTCGCGCCGAGCGCCGGACCCGCGCTGCCACTCGGAGGCGACGCTGCCGAGGAGACCCAGCTGACGAAACAGTCTTTAAGTGCGACTGAAACCCACCCTTCGCCTCCAAGCCGAAAGAAAAAGAGTGAAACGCGTCTAACGCAGCCCTCCAGATACCGCTCCCGTTACTAAAATGAAGAGCATAACCTGGGGGAGAACCTGGGACTTCACGGGATTGAAAGATCGCCTCCAAAAAGTCCTTGTCTCATTAATCAAGTAAAGCTAATGGCTCCCCTTCTCCCACGAAGGATGCCTCCGCGCCACGCGCGCCACAGCTGCTGCACTGCACACCAGGCAGCTGAAGGACTAGAAAGAAAACAATAGTTTATAATAGTAATAGAATAGTTAATAGGGCCAGCGGTGCCCTGCCACAGGCTCGCTACAGCCCATGGAAGTTATTACTGAATCAAATTTAATGTAGACTTTTGAGTTAATTAAGCATAGGCTGGATTAAAAAAAAAACAACCAGCTTCTAATAAGTTTATTAATGCTGTCAAAAATTCATGCTTATGGAAAAAACATCTAATCATTTTATATTCTTATTAATCATTCTCATTCCTCATTAATAACTTGACACGCTAACAGTGTGGTTGTGGTGATTAACACAGACTGCACTTCACAATGCTGTACCTCCACGGTCACTTGTTACGCTAAGTCTCTAGGTAACCACTTCAAAAAGAGGTTATTCAGTTATCATTAAAGACACTCAAAATTCTAGCTATTTATTTCAATGTACTTTTCAGATTAAGTCCACTCTATCAAAAATAAACACAACTCATCGCAGTATTTTGTATCAATATATTAGCGACTGCTGAGAAAAAGTCCTACTAATGGCGCATGGAAAGAGTTGCCTATTAAAGTAATGAGGTGAATAACAAAGTTAAAAACTTATGTTTGAGAAAACATATACAGATAATTATTGTGAAAATAAGATTGCACAAACAATATTTTGCATAGAGTACAACCCTGTATGGTTTTTGTGTTTATGGAAAATATAGTTAAGAATAAAAATACATATTTCAAACTTCTTTACATCTGGATGAAAGTGAAGACTATTAAACTATAAACTATTGAACATTTACAGATTAGGAGTCAGAACTATTACATTTCCATGATCGTAAGCGCAGAAGAAAAAGGGCACAGATTAGTTGTATCCTAATCAGTACATTACTGCATTGTCCATGAAGACGTTTGTAAGCTCCACATGTCCAATTTAATGTTACCCTGCTGATGTTTAGCAGAGACCCATATGAAATTCCCCAGCTAAGCTTTAACCTTCCCCTTTGAAGCCCAGAACCCACAAGACGCTTCCGCAAGCATATACTTGAGTTTTTTGCAGTAGCAAGAGCCTCGAGAACAACTTGAGAAATGGTGTACCTTTGCTTTTGCCACAGCTGCCATGGTTGGACTAACAAGAGTTTCTGCACTGGCAGGCTGCTGGAACTTCAGTGCCTCAACGTACAACTGTTTGGGAAGATAGTTTATTCATTTGGGTTTTTTTGGTTTTCTCCAGAAATGGATGGATTTAAAAAAAAGAAAATAAAAAAATAAATCGAGCTTGCATGAAACCTTAAAAATAAATGGTTCTATTTCTGACTTTCATGTTATTGCATGTCCGGTGGAAGTAAGGCTTTTGAGAAGCAGCAGCAGCTTCACAGATTTCAGATCTACTCGACTTTTCCTGTAAGATCAGACAGCAGTAGCAACCATAGAGAAACCAAAACGTATATATAGTAATGCCAAGAAAACGGTCTCATTTGGCTCTACTACAAACATAGCAGGTTCTCAGGAATACTATCCCTTGCACACATTTATTGCATGATGTCCAACAATCCAAGTATTCTTATAAAGAAAAAAGGTCATTTGAAATTCAGGCATTGCAAAAGCCTTGTTTGCCTGACACGTTAGCTCGTTCTGCCTAGCAGCACAGCTTCGTGTAAAGAAAATGTGACATTTGAGGACTAGTAGCACAGTACTGATCTACTAGTTTCTAGATTATGGTTACTCCACTTCAGTTCTGTGTCATGAAACAGTTCGTGGGGAGTTCGTGCAACACAAGACTAAGCTTAGACTGATTTCAGAGCCATACAGCAGTCCTGCTATTCATCTTTGGAAGACCTTTAAGCAATATTATTTTCTATATCTAGATTCCTTAAAAAAACAGTTTGAGCTACTGAGCTAAGACACTGCTAACCCGTCAGCTTAAAACATGTAAGAATAGATGGAAAAATGAAAATCTGACAGAATACTAGAAGTCAATAATGGCTTTCCAGGTGTTATGAGGTTTTTTTAAGAACACATCTGAGCCTAAGACAGTACCATAATTGTATCTGTTGATCTGCGTTATGGTGGTCTTCAAACGAAACCACAATTCCAGTATCACTTTCTGGCAGTTCGAGGTTTGTTTCCCAGCTGCTCTCACAAACCTACTGTAAGACAGTACTGGACATGGACGGCTGGACATGGTTCCTGAGGTTCTGCTGCTCGCTCGGAGTGAACGTGCAATTCATCTCTCTATGATCCAGTGTGGCCTCATAACTAGAGAGCCGTTCCTCTTAGTCAGTGGAGGAGAGGCATGCATTGCATTATTTGACACGTAGACTGCCTCCCTTGAGGCATGCAGCCAGCTTCGCTTCCTTTTTAGATTTCCTGCAAATGCTCTAAGATACAAAAACTCCATTCTCAGGAAGTTTTCCCTGGTCAAGTCTCTGGAAGCCACTGTTATCCTGACCAGCTGGTCCAACACCTTATTCTTCCGGCAGCTGGATAACTCTTTGAGGTTGATAGGCTTTGACCGTGCATAAAGAATGCGAAATTCCAGGTCAAAGTGTGCAACTGCGGGGCCTGACAGGATCAAAATGTTGCTGCTGTTCAGCTTCCCATCTGTCCACGTAAAACTAGCAAAGGAAGGATGAGAAAATTTTGAGTTAATTGAAAATAAATCGTAAACAAAGTATTAACTGAAAATCCTCTTTCATCACGTTTAGTCAGATTGTTCTTATAATCCAAATGATGAGCCGCGTGCTCTTTTTAGGACAAACGTTACAAATAAACTGTGACAAGAAAAGCAGTTTTGAAATGTGGCTGTTTTTCCTTTCCATGTAAAGAAACCACGTAAAGCAACAGAAAGAAATTGGCACTTGCCTGTAGGAGCCCGTTGTCACTCTAATGCCATCAATTAACATGAACTTTTCACGGACTTTTCCAACAATTTTGGCGCCCGACCTCGTGTAGTATGTGTTCCCAGTGATATTTCGAATTCTCATCAACTGTTAAAGATACGGTGAGCATCATGTGGATTTCAAAGTTAAACAATTGTATTTAAAGGAGTAACAGACAACGATAATTATCACTGATGAACTAGCAAAGGTTGCTGCGCAGTGGCACAAGATTCACCCTCTAGGAACCAAATGATAATTTTGTCTTGTTTTAGTAGGCAAAGAGGCGGCATTAAGGGGCAGACCCATAAACTGACTGTGCAGAATGTGACTGTAAAAACTCCTGTCGCCAAACCTCAGAGGGACCCAAACTCCGCAGACTCCTGAGAACCTGCTTCTCCATCAGCCTTCAAAGTCTCGGCGAGCCTGAGCAACTCCAGTCATCCTTCAGGAACTGGACATTCCTCCTGCATTTCCTTGAATATTCGATTTGTATTTGTGCTCAGAAAGCAACTGTAACAGCCACTTATAACGATTTCAGTTTTTCTGTTAATTGCCTTCTTATGCAAGAATGGTTAAATCATCCAAGAAAGCGCTAGAGCTACATGAAACCCACTTTAAGTTGTGGCAGCAGGCAAAATAGTTTCTTCTTTTGATAGCTCAAAGATTAGAGTCATAAGAGGATCAACTCTGTATCCCTATAAACATGACAAGGCTCACCTTTTCCTGTTCCAGGTCAACTCCCAGATCCCTGCACATTTTCAGAAAGTGGGAAAATGAAGACTGATCTAGAAGGATATACACTTTAACTTGCCGCTGGCTACAAGCTTCCAAGAGGTCTTTGAAGATATCGGTATCTGTGAAGGAATCCATAACCAGGGCAACCATCTGCAACAAGTTTCAGAAGAAATCATTAGGCTGTTTCCACAGCATCCCAAGGGAGATGGCACACGAGGAATTTGACTTTCAAATTAAATATTCCCCCCCCCCCTTTTTTTTTTCCTGGTGGTTATGGACCATGGTACAGTCTTCTGTGATATGGTATATTCTTCTGTTCACAGGACTGCTGGAACATTTAACAGACATATAAGAAAGAGAAAAGAAAGGAAAAAATAACTGATCAGAATAAAGTTCTGTGGAGATAATGGTATTTTGGTAAAGGTGATTACCGAGTGCAGTACACTGAGGTACAGGAGACAAAATATACATCGCCCCTTCACTGTGATCACTTATTCATGTCCCTGTACAGTTAAATAGAAAAAAAAAATACTGAATTTATGAACAGAAATTGTTGTTAAAGATTATTTGCCCCAATCTTGTTTTCGCTTGACCGACTTATAGCAGATAACATCATCTAAGGTTTTTATTATCGCATTGCAGAATTTCGGGTTTTACTATAATTTCAGCAGCAGACATTGAAGCTTCTTTTGCTGGGATCTGTATCTTTTCTGGTTCATTAGGTACGAGCAATCTAGCCTGAAAGCCTATTGTGGAAGGACACCTTTTCTCTACTTAAAAATCAGAGGTCATCACTAATGACCAGCAATGGTAGCTCCTCCATCTGTTCAGTAGCATGTTGCTCATGGTTTTTAATTAAGGTTGTACTAAACCCTTCCCTTTTTTACTACATAACTTCACCTTCAAGAAAAAATTGCAGAAATCTGAGCATTTTCCTCCTTTCCCCCCACCTCTAGAGCAGTGCCAAGAACAACAACGGCAGAGGGAGACTTGACACCTCTCCGAAAACCTAAGCGAGCTGATAAAAAAAGTATTTTGCATGAGGAAAAGAAAGACATTTTGCTGTCAGCCTTCTTCAGCTACATCAGTAACTTCTGGTGTAACAGGAGCACAGAGTTGATCGTGGAGATGTTTGGGGGTGCTGAGAATACCTCGGAAGAACCAGAACAGTGGCAAAACAAATGTATTGCTTCAGGTTTCTTCCTCACCCTGAGATACGGCAAAATCAGGGGTCGAATTCTGTGTTAGACAAATTTGGTCTCGGATTCCTAGGCAAGAGGTTTTTTTCCTGAGAACAGATGTCTTTGCCTCAAAAGCACTGCCTGAAGAAAAAGGTGAGCTTATTTCCAAAACCTAAGTTTTCCAGAGTCTTTCAAACTTTTCAAACATGAAAAGAAACAGTACAAAAAAAAATTCACCGGTGTCCGACTGCTCTTTACGTCTCACCTCTCTATTTAAGACAAAAATGAGGTTTGCCTTCAACTTATTATTCAGATTCTCATGGTATTTCAAGCCAAGATCTGATGACTCGCCCAAGCTCCTTGAGTAAAACCTCCCCTGAGAGCCAGCTCCTGCCCTCGCAGATCTCTCCCACGGCCTGAGCCCCGAGGTTTGCTGTGTACCGCCGTACGATGTGGAAGCAACGACTACTTAAAAGAGCTGGGAACGGGCACGTTTAGGACGTATCGCTCACAGGTGCCAACTCCCTGAGCGAGCTTAGCGAGGCCCGGATAGCACGGACTCGGTTTTCATCGATAGGGGGGGGAAAAGCTTGCAAATAATGAACCTATTAAAAAAAATAAATACAAAAGATGGTGGAAAAAAATAAAGCAATAACAAAATGGCATAGTGAGTAAAATGGGGAGTTTATTTAAAAGTAAATGAAGGGGGGAAGGAGGAGGTGGATCCCGGGAAGCCGGGCGGGAGCGGTGGGGAGGGAGGGGAGC